TGTGTGTGTGTGTGTGTGTGTGTGTGTCAGGGACATGTGTGTACCTGAGTGTGTTGGATTGTACGCGCGCAGAACCTGAATGAGGACATTCAGGTTGAGCATCGGATCAAAAGCAGAGAGGGCTCGCGAGCAAGAGGGCGAGTTCATGAGGTACAGGGCCGGGTAGGCCAGCACCAGCAGGTCCGGCCGGCGGAAGCCCTCGGCGATGATCTGCCACAAATGTCAGTCGATAGCCAGTCATGGGGGATCGGGAGGCAGACACAGGCAAAGGAGGCGAAGAGCGAGGAAGGGGACGCGGCAGGGAGATGATGCACTTGAGTGCGCGTCCGGGGAAAAGAAAGAAAAGAAGGACCGACCCACTGGGCAGAACTCACCTTGAGAGTCAATGCAGTGGCCAGGTTGCCGCCAGCCGAGTCGCCCACGATGATGATACGCTCGGCCGAGGTGCCGAGGCGCTGAGCATTGCGCACGGCCCACCTATACGCCTGCCAACACTCCTCCAGTTGCACTGGAAACGGGAAGTCCGGCGCAAGGCGATAGTCCACCGAGAGGATCGGCAGCCCCGTGTCCAGGGCCCACTGGCGCATGTAATTCCCATGTGAGAAGGAGGTCATGGCCACGAAGCCGCCGCCATGGACGTGGAAGATCAGTGCCGGGGTGAGCTCCGGGATCAGGGGATAATCAAGATGGATGTCACCATCTGCACAAGGCCCAACAGGCATGCATGCAGGCACGCAAATGAGGTGAGTAGGCAGGGAAGGGGGGGGGGGGCATTTCCACCATGCAAGGCTGCCTCTTTGGCCACAAAGTGGACCAGGAAAAAAAAAAAGAACACGCACACAGGCCGCCAACCATCCGCTCATAGCTGGGCTCCTCATCCTTGACGAAAATGCGGAAGGGCAGTTGCCGGACGCGGGACTTCAGCGTGCGCGTAAAGGGAAGACTGGTCGTGGAAATGAACCTACGGGAAAGACCGTCGAGGGTGCCAATCGCGAGTCAATACACCTTTTTCATGTGTTGTGCCCCAAGGAGGGGAGGAGCGGCATTCAAATTCCCACGCCCACTGCACATGCTGGCCCGAGCCCAATACGTACCGGGCACGGATATACTCATGCTGGTAGTCGGCCGGCAGGGGGGGCATCTTCAGCAGGGGATGCTTGACCGGGGGATACATGTATAGACCACCGGCCGGGAAGACTTGCTCCGAGCCTGGAAGCGAGGCGTCCGATCCGGAATCGGGCGGGGTCGGGGCCGTGGTCGATGCAGCAGCCGCCCACGGATCGCCAGCCATCTGCTCCTTCGAGGGGGGACGCGAGAGCCCGCGCGCACGAGTCGCCTGCTCGGTCACATCGGCCTCCAGCGAGTCGAAACGGCGGATCCGGGCCTCCGCATCGAGCAGCGCAGTCGACTCGCTGAAGGCGCCGAGGTTCCCATCCGAAGGAGCATCCGCGATGTCGGCCAGTTCATTGTGCGAATGGACCCGGGGCCTCTGGCTGGCAGCCGGCCACCGGGGCGCCGAGGAGGCATGGCTACCATGCTGCAGCGACCCGGGGGATGACTGTGATGAGCCAGGGCGTGCGGCCGGGCCACCGCCGAAGCCGGCCGCATCGTACGAAACAAATGGCGCCGCCCGGTCTGGCACCGGGCTGGGCACGGTTCCGAAGCCGCCGGGCCCGGGGGATGGAATCCGGTAGGTCACGCCGGCCGGCGCCGGCGGGGCATCCCAGAACCAAGAGTTTGGACGGTGGCGGAAGGAGGGGATGGAAAACATTTCGTCGTTCGGCACGTCGTGATACATGAATTCGAACATGTTCCGAATGCCCGGCGTCTCGGGCAGGTTCCACAGGAACTTGACAAAGTCGAAATCGTGCGCCAGCGAAGAAAGGCAATGCGCTGCCCGCTTGGCCGCCCGGTCATAGCTGAACGTGTACAGGAAGTTCCACACCCCGAAGGAGAGGGTCTTGAATAGGGCAGAGGAGTAGGTCATCGACTGCGACGCCGAGGCAGTCGCCTGAACGAGCAGGTAATTGAAGAGGGTGATCCGGTCCACAAGCTGGGCAGGTGATGTACACGCGCGTGGGTGGGTGTTTCGGCATGCGTGTAAGTAGTCGGCCTCGGGGATGGGTCGGCTATCCCCGAAAGAGCATCGAGTGGGAGAGAGAGAGAGCATGTGACGCACGAAGTAGCCCGGGTTTGCAAAGAAGGGATACGGGTCAAATTGGTGCAGTAGATCCTCCCACTTGCGAAGGGCCGGATTGCGAATCAGGTCGTCCTCCAGGACAAACGGACTGTCGGACGAGCGCGACCTGAAAAGAGGATCCTGCTCGGAAAGCACACCGACTGTGCCCGGACCACCAACATGTCCAGGAGGCCGGTCCGCCTGGGCCAGCTGCACATTGACCGCCAGGGTAAAGATGTCCAGCATGCCGGCGGCCTTGCGGGCCTCGCGCACCACAATTTGCCGCGACCGGCGCCGTTGCCAGAACGCAGCTGACAAGCAGCCGGGGGTGCCGGTGGCCGACGGGGCGGCCCTCATGGATGCCGCCTCCGAGGCAGACTGCGGCCGCTCGGCGTCCCCACCGCCAAAGAGGACCAGGCGGCTTTGGGGAGCCTCGCCCTGGGTGAGCCAGCCCTCGGCCTCGAAGATCCGGAAGCGCAGGGCCACCGAGTAGCTGAGCAACACACGCAGGACCGACTGGCAGCCAACCGACACGGTGAGCGCCAAATCCGGGGGCAAGGATCCCGCCGGCCGCCCATGGCCCAGGCCGGAGGCGTAGTCCGGGTCGAAGCGTTCACGCAGCAAGCGCGACATGTCATGCAGTCGAGGAATGATCTCAATGAGGCCTGAGGCGAAAGGAAAAGGGCAGGCCGGCAGCCAGGCACACCAGGACACACTCACTTGTCAGCAGAAGGGCCGCTGGCGGGCGGGGAGGGGGGAAGGCGAAAGAGGGGGAGAAGAGGGGAAACCCGCGGGCGGTCCTTGCCTGCCTGCCTGCCTGCCGGAGAGGAGGCCGACGCGCGAAAGGCACGCACAATCCAAAGCTTCGAGGTAGGTCTTCGGATACCGGGGGAAGGGACCACCATGAGGTACGGATCGGGCGCCGCTGCCGGTCCCGGAGCCCGCGGACGCCTCGTGGAAGTGTGCCGGCAGCCATGACTGTTCGTCACCCTGGTCGATCGGCATGCCGATAGATGCCTCCGGATCGCTGTCGAAGCCATTGCGCGGCACGGAGATCACGGCCGACGAGCAGGCCATGGTCAGCGAGCACAGAGCTCGCTCAGTCTCCCGAAGGATACCGAGGGCCCGCTCGCGCGTGGGCAGACCTCGATACCGGCGTACGCGCACATGCTTTTCCGGGCCGCGGGGAAAGAGGACGACCTCTGTGATGGGGGCAAAAATACCCAGGAGGGGGGGGGGGTCTGGAGTGTCAGCCAAACGTGCTCCTGCGGGGAGGGAAGAGAAGGAAGAGGGAGAGAGAGAGAGAGAGAGGGAGAGCGCGGGCGAGAGGAACATAGATGGTGCCATGCGGAGGGGAGGGGGCTCTTGGCGGCGCACCGTCTGACACGCTGTCCGCCAGGGCCCGAGCATCGGGTCCGGTGTCGCGCGGAACTTGCCCCGAGGCGGTGGGCGTCCCCCCATCCGGCGAGGAGTAAAGTTGCGCATTGAGGCACCGGTGGCAGACGTCCGGAGTGCCAGGGCCGCCATGTGGCCGGGAAGAGGGGGGGCACCGGCAGGTCCCAGGCCGCACAGGCCCTGGGGAGGTGCTTCCCCCGGAGGTGAAACTACCAAAGCCAGTGGTCGGCGACAGCCCCGGGGCCTGGAGCAGGGCATCGGAGCTGATCGGCGAGTAGAGGGAAGACCGGAGGGAGGCGGCGGCGAAATCCCGCGAAGGTGGCCGCCCAGCTGGGCCGATGCTGGAGAGGAAGTCCATGTCCGCGCCATGGGGCGAGGTGGCGTCCAGGAGCACGTCCACAAGCGGATCGCCCCGGGTGGCGGCCGCGAGCGACTGCCGGCCCACATGTCCCGACAGGGAGAGGCTCTCCATGATGGACAGGCTGGCCGAGCTCTTGTTCAGGAAGAGGTCGCTTGGCGACGAGGAGTACGGCGCGCTGCTCATCTTCGGACGGGGGAGCAGCGCCGAGGGCAGGGACCGAAGCGAGTAGAGGCGGCTGACGGCGATGGCCGGGAGACGGGGAGAGGGCAGCCTCGCGTCAGCAAGACGATCTCCGTAGGGATGGGCGAGGGGGGAGAGGGGGGGGGGCGAGGGAGGAATAGGCAAAAAAAGGGGGGAGGGAATGGGGAGGGGTGCGTGTGTCTGGGGGGCGTGGCACACGTAGGTGGCAGCCGGGCGACGAAAAAAAGCTCGCACCCGGGAGGCCGGATCTGATGTGGGCGCAAGAAGGGGGCCCAACTCCGGGCGCGTTTCATCTTGCCCGGGCCTTGTGTATGTATGTATGTATGTGTATGTGTGGGTGTGTGTGTGTGTGTCTGTGTGCGTGTTCCCTGCTCGCCGATTCACAGGGGCCTGGAGCCAGATCGGGATGATGGCCCGGATCCGAAAAGGGCTAGCTGGTGGACAATCTGTGTGGGGCCCCCTTCGAGGGTGAGGCGTGTTCGCGTGCGTGGGCGCTCTCGGGAAGAAGGATGATCCAAAAGACAAGGCCCCGGCAGGCTGGGCCCTGGCACCTCTGAGCCCCGCCGCGCCGACAGGGGGACCTGGATGTGGGGGCAAGACCAAGGGCGGTCTTTGGCCGCCGGAGGTCGGGTCCAAGCGCGGGCACGGAAACAGAGGCCGAGGTATGGGTGCCGGGGGGGGGGGGGGG